CACTATACACAACCAAACAACTGTGGCGATCTTGTTTCTTCTCTCTCTCTCTCTCTCTCTCTCTCTCAAAATCATGGGATGCACATACAAATGTGGTTTACCCTCCCCGCCAATCTGTAGGGCCTGAATTTTATTTGTTTTGCGGGTGTTATGGTAAGATGGTTCAAATGAAGTAGTGAGTTTTACATTTTGCTCTGAAGCTCCTGAGGTTTGTGGGTCATCTGGGTCTTTTCTGTGAATGAGTTCCAGGTACATGGGCCAATTCCTGGGAAAGCTCTCTCCCCTGCTCATGTGAGTGTAATGTTCAAGGCTGACAGTTCCAAGGTTAATAGGCAGCAGAATTAAAACAAAAAGGATGTATTTTTTCCCACACAACGCACAGTCAACCTGTGGAACTCCTTGCCAGAGGATGTTGTGAAGGCCAAGACTATAACAGGGTTCAAAAAAGAACTAGATAAGTTCATGGAGGATAGGTCCACCAATGGCTATTAGCCAGTATGGACAGGGATGGTGTCCCTAGCCTCTGGTCACCAGAAGCTGGGAATGGGCGACAGGGGATGGATCACTTGACGATTACCTGTTCTGTTCATTCCCTCTGGGGCACCTGGCATTGGCTACTTTCAGAAGACAGGATACTGGGCTAGATGGACCTTTAGTCTGACCCAGTACGGCCGCTCTTATGTATTTACAGTTCTAATGGAATGCTGCTGTTGTGGGAGGTCATCATCACATATCATGAGTGATCCCTAAGGAAAGTGAGACCAGTCCCATGTAGAGCTTTGAAGATTGGGACCCAAAGCTTAAATCTGAACTAGTATTCTGATAAGACCCAGGGAAGAGAGAAGAGCACTGGAGTGATATGTACTCTTCACAGCCTCTGCGGCTGGGCAGATTGCTTCTGAACCAACAGTAGCTTTTTATTTATTTATTTATTTATTTACGTTTATTTTTAATTTAAGCCTGGTAGTTTTATTCCTACACACAGAGAGCTACAATAATTCAGGCTGGAGGTCATGAATGCATGGATCACTGATCATTACTGTGGCTAATTCTGAATCTGACAGGAGGCTGTTTGGATCAAGATTGTTCATGACAGTCTTCTTGCCGGCGGTAACAGGAAAGGGGTATAATAACCATAGTCATGGTTATTTGGTGCACAGAAGCTGTGAAGAGTCTAAGAGAAGGGTAAGGCTACAGACTTAATACAGAGCAGATGCCCTCACTGGAGGAGGATGTTAGAACATGAGTTCTCTGAAATGCTTCCCTCCCCCGACTAGCATCACATCAGTCACCTGATCTGACTTCAGATACTGGTCTCAGACAGGTCCTCAAATGGCTGAAGGAAAGTGCTTTTTATGTATGATGTGAAAGTAATTGTAAAGCTGGACGTCATATGTGTACTCTAGACATTTTAGTCCATGCTGTTGCACAGTGCCCCCAAGTGGCTCCATGCAGTCACTGACAAGAACAGGATGGGTCACTGAGATTTCACAGGTGAGGACTTCAAAAGTGGAGGAGCATATGCCCATCATGACTCTCTCGATGTAGTCTGAGAGAAAGGAGCGAAGCAATATCAGCATAGTCTTGCTAACCCTTGCCATGTCTCTAAGGCTGGGCCGCAGAATTTCATGGCTAATTATAACAAATACTGTGGCGAGGTCAAAATGAATATGAATGGATATCACTTCTGAGATCTCTACTTTCTCTAGCCGTGAAGGGCACAGATCAGACTCACAGGTGGTAACTGCTTTTGCTGCATTGCTTCCAGAACTCTGTTTTGTGGATAGGATGAATTCAGAGAAGGAAGGTATTAGACTCCACATACTCACCTGTATACTCCACTTCTATGTCGGCCAGAGCCTGCATAGTGTTCTCATATGTTACTTTTTCAAAATCAAGCATTCCAACGTTGTCATACACTTGCTTTGTTTTCATGATCAGATCTTCTGTCCTTGTTCTGATTTGCTCTGGTGACAGGTCCCATTTCAAAAAGTTTCGGTCTGATGCTGCATATGAAGAGGCCTGGAGATGGGTAGTAATTTCTGTTCCTAATGTCATTCTCAGTAAAAGCCTTGGACCACCAGCTCTGAAATTTTAAAAATGAATTTAGGAGATTAAGAATCTAATTGAAGCAAAAAGTCTATTGTGAATTGTTTTTTTAAAAGAACATTACTTTTTTTTATTAAACAGTATTTTTAGAAACAAGAACATATTCCTTTTTAGGTCTATCCTTTCCTCTTCAGGACCCTAAATAGTTGTACTTTTAATTAAATAAATCTGTATTTTAAAATAATTCAGATGTCTGCCCTTTTTTCCCCCCTTTACTAGATTGAGGGAGTGCTATCTAATATGTATGCAAAAACAGAGATGAAACCTTTTGGTTCAGCAAAAATAGACAAAACAGTTTTTCTTAGACGACTGAGTTGTTATTCAAAACACCAGTTACTGAAACTCCATGGAAACAGACAATAGTGTTTTGTATTTTGAGACAAGGAAAAGAGAATAGGCAGTGAAATCTAGGTTATGAAGGCTAATAGTTACATGAAACATAAACAAAATGGTAAAAACATTTAATATGGAAGTGTAAATTAAAATGGATAATTTTATACTTGCATTGAATGTCTGCTGTGTTCCAGGCCATGAGAGCAAAATATCTCATAGTCTCTTACTTCAAAATGTACTCTTTTAACTGTTGCAGATCTCATATGAGTACTTCATACCGTTTTGCTCTGTAGCTGGAAAAGGCATGAAGGTTTCTCATATCTATAAACAACCTTTGTGTTCAGTTAATAACTCTGATTAATTTAGTCAACTGTATTACAAACTTGGTTAGGCAGAAAAGTTTACAATCTCCTACAATGCTGGGATTGACAGCTGCCTTTTCACTAACCAATACGACAATGCACACACAAAGCTATGTGATTCAGCCATTTTTCAGGAGTTTAATGGCAGAGGGGCAATTTCAAAATTTCAGGGTATGTGTGTTTTTTCTGAGTTTCTTTTGAGTCACCAAAATATAGGAAGAAATAAAATTCAGTTATTGACCATCATCTGCTCCCAATCACCCCCAGGAATCTGTGTCTTTTTCTCCTTTCATTGCATTTCACACATTTATGACCTGCTGGATAGCCCACCGAATTGGGACTCAGGAGACCTGGGTTCTATTCCCAGCTCTGCAACTGGTCAGTTGGGTGACCTTGGGACAGTCACTTTACCTCTCTCTGTCTCCGTTTCCATATCTGTAAAATGGGGATAATGACACTGACCTCCTTTGTTAAGCACTTTGAGATCAACCAATGATAAGTGCTATATAAGAGCAAATGATTGTCATTATTGCCATACTCCACAATTTCTTCCATGCTCTTCCTTTCCTTTTGTTTTCTGTGCATCTCTTTGCTTTTCCATGCTTTGTTTTGGTCCATGCCCCAATTCTACAATCTATTCACTTATCAGTATTTTTCAGCACTCATCCCATTCTCCCTGTACCACTGCACCCACACACATCAAAGCCCCATACCACAGCAACCCTCCTTCTAGTTCAGCGGTCCTCTAACTGTGGCTTGCGACGGCAATCCCTACTGTGTGGAGGACACCACTTTACTCTGTACAGCGTGATCTTGCATGCACAATATTTTGCTCTTCAAAATGGCATCCTCCATACTGTCTGGGATCCTGGGAGGATAGCTCAGTGGGAGGAAATAATTCATTAAATTGGGGTCAAGCCAGCAAAAAGTCTAGGAACCCCCTGCTCTAGTTGATCAAGGTACTCTTCTAGTTGAAGAGTAAGATACTGATGGGTCTGCAGATGTAGTGCTACCCCATTTGGCTGGGAAAGGTGTAATGGGAGACTCCTTGAGAAATCTCTCCCTCAAAGGATGGTGTCAGTAGAGCAGTCATCACAGGCATTTTTTTTTTTTTGGCCCTGTTGGCTGGTGGTGGGGGTTTGGGTTGTTGTTTTTTTTTTTGGGGGGGGGGGGGTAGGAGAGTTGTCTCCTCCTTCTTTTCCCCCCTGTTTTTCTGTTATTTTCAAGACAGGCTCTCTCTCCTTTTGTTCATTTCTCTTGCTTTCCTTTAGCTGCTCTATCAATTCTTTCCCCCCCAATCTCTTCCCCTTCTTTGACCCTACTGTTTATGTCTCATCTCTCTCCTTCCATGTTAATCTTTTCTTTACCCAGAGCACCTCCAGGACAGTGGGGAATCACACCTACATACATCCTAGCTGCATCAGAAGTAGATGAGTGAAACTAACTAGGAGCTGAGTGAGTCTCATCAGTTTAATTATGCAGCTGCTTCCAGCTCCCTGGGAAGGTGCTGTTTTGTGAACACAGATTTGATCATACTCTGTAGGATTCTTTACAGGGGTAATCTGAAAATTCACACCAGTGTATTAATAGGAAAACTCAGAATCCTCATGTCCAACTTAAACCCAGAGTTAATATCTATCTATAAATACATAAATATGGACATATATTTTGCACAAACCTAACATTAGTATCTAATAGATAGTGAGAATGAAGTATGCATAGTAAACCAAGCACTAAGCCATAAGTATGGAAGAATCAGAGACAAGGATTTGCTAGAGACCATATTTTGGAGCAAAGAACCAGAGCCAAAGTTTGAGGGGGAACTGACCTTGGGAGTGAAAAAATTTAGCTGGACCAGACAAATTGTAGAGACAAGGTGGGAGAGGTAATATATTTTATTGGACCAACTTCTGTGTGTGAGAGAGGCAAGTTATTGAGCTTAACAGAGCTCTTCTGAAAAAGAGCTGACCTGAAAAAGAGTTCTGTGTAAGCTCAAAAGCTTTCCTCCCTCACCCACAGAAGTTGGTCCAATAAAAGATACTATCTCACCCACCTTGTTTCTATAATATCCTGGGAAACACAGCTAGAACACTGCATACAGACAAACTGTGACCAAGTCAAACAATGAGATGAAGATTTACTGGAAACAAAAGGGCCAAAAGAGAAACCCATTCTGTTCTACCACAATGTTGACCCTGTGCACACAATCACAAGTTGAGCAGTAGTAGCAGAGATAACTGAGAGCAACTCAAAGCCAGTTTGCCTTTGAGAAGCAAGATTTGCCTGACACAGAAGACTAGCTTGGTAGGACTAACCCACATCTTCAGGCAAATGTGATTACAAAGCAACTAGGAGATTTAAAACCTTTGCATTTACTAAGCTGATTGTTCTATGGCACGGCTTTGTAATTAAAATATTTTTAACTCCTGCTAATGAAGTAAAATAAATTATGGTACAAAGGAAGACAGTATGTGTTGATATGTTAATTGCACAAACTAATACCCAGACATAATTAAAGTTTTTTAAAAATGTGCAAGTGTAAAGTGGTCACTATTACAAGGTGACATTTACTAACAGATACCAATTCATGGTAAATGTTGATTATTTAATAGCAATCACTGTAACTGTGTTAATAGTTATTTGGGGAGTATCAAAACCAGTTTGGTACATATATAAATGCTCATAAAATTTGGCATAATAATGTAGTGTGTATGTGGCCCGGATGAAAAATGGTGACTATACAAGCAGTTTGAAAAGGGCATGGGTGCAGGGCTCCCATTTTAAGGTTACACCTTTGTAGTTGAAAGGTTCTACAATTAGACTGTCAATTATTTTGTACAGATATAAATAAGGACATCATTCTTACACAAATGTATTAATGGAAGACTATTTTTTCATAGTGAACATGGTTTATTCAAGTCCTTCATCACAGCTCAGACAAGAGGTTTATTTTTCCTCTACCAGCACTTAGAGGTGGACAGTGTTGTGAGTTGTGACAATGCCCATATGTTAGAGACTTGCTGACTCTGACACTGACACATGGATAAAGAAGAGCTGGCTCAAGCTGAATGTAGGAAAGACCAAAACGATGAGAATCGGAAGAAGAAAACATTTCTACGGGCAGCTTATCATCACCAACTTTCCCTCAGATGAAGGCATTTGTCCACTGATAGTCATGAGAGTGGATCAGCCTTAGGTCCTACTGTAGTCATTACTGACCCTGAACACTCAAATAGCAACAATCCTTCTTCCATCTATGGCTAGCAAGATAATTTTGTTTATTCCTCTCTGACGATAACTCAGATCAAAGGTTGGGGCATTAGTAACTTCTGTGCTGGACTACTGAAACTCATTCTATCTGAGTCTAGATAAGAATGTAGCAGCCCACCCTGAAAATGACAAGCAAAAGAGTACAGTACTGTACACTGGTGCTCTGCCATCTACATTGGCTCCTCATTCCAACACTAGTGGGTCCATTTCAAGATTGAAAATTAATCATCAAATCCCTTAAAGGATAAAATGCTGTAATCTCTAGGACCACCTCTCTTTCTGGGCCCCGCTATGACAACTAGAATCACCTGCACACTGACTAAAAGAGTCCTGATATAGAGTAGAAAGAGCTGAAGGTGCATCTTCTTAACTGCAGGCTCAAGGCTCTGGAAAACCCATGCAGATGAAACTCACTCAGATGGAGCGTTCTGTATTCTACATACAATGCTGATACAGTATATTATGGAGTTAAACACTTTAGAAATTCACACAAATAAAATACGCATCAGCTATGTCACTGAGCAAATATATTTGTCAAGAATAACCACTGACATAGTAACTAAAACAGCAATCAGTGATACATTCTCAATTAACCACTGGGCAAAATGTTTAAATGGGTATAGAATTACTTGGATCTCCCCCCGAGGGCTTGAATGCTGGATCCAGAACACTGATAAGCACTACTTTTAATTTACAGGGTGGATAGGGTGACCAGATGTCCTGATTTTATAGGGACAGTCCCAATTTTTGGGTCTTTTTCTTATATAAGCGCCTATTACCCTCCACTCCCACACTTGCTGTCTGGTCACCCTAAGGGTGGAACTGGTGACTTAACTCCAGGGCTGGCTTCAGCTTTTCTGCTGCCCCAAGCAGCCAAAAAAAAAAAAAAGAGTGGCAGCACTTCGGCGGCAGCTCAATCACGCTGCTTCTTCTGCGGCGGTTCAGCGGCGGGTCCTCCCTCTCTTCCTCTTCGGCAGCAGCTCAAAGAGGAAGAGAGGGAATGAGGGACCCG